GAGAGAAAGGGAGCAGCCTGGCACACCAGCCACAGCCAGCAGCACTGAAGGAAAAAAAAGGTAAGTTAACAGCAAATATATGTCTATGTGTACTTATGTCAGTGTGTGTGAATCTGTTTGTGCATCTGTGTGTCAAGCAGGGGCGTACCTAGAGCATTTGGCACCCGGGTCGGATCCTGTGCTTGGCACCCCCCTCTTCCCCCTCAAAACCTGTAAAAAATGTTAAAGGTTTTATTTCTTTTATTTTTACAATTTGTAAACTTTGCAAAACCGCTGTCAGCCCCTCCTACAAAACCTTTGTCCTGCCCTTCTACAAATCCTGTACTGCCCCATCTACAAAACCCCCGCAACCCCCTTCCACAAATCCCCTGCTTATCCCCCCTTATAAAGACTCCTGTCCCAATACAAAACCCCCACCCCCTTCTACAAAAATCCCTGCAGCCCCACACACACATTTACAGGCAGACAGTCACACACTCAGTTACAGACAGACAGTCACACACTCAGTTACAGGCAGACAGTCACACACAGTCACAGGCAGACAGTCACACATACACATTTCCTCCGTGCGGCCAGTTTATCAGCTGTTTGCTTGTGTGAGCTGCACTGGCCGCACGGCACCCTAACTACTATGGGACACTGTGCGGCCACAGTTCACACAGCCCCCTCCAGCCAGGGCCGGTGCAAGGATTTTTGCCGCCCTAGGCAAAAGTAAAGTTTGCCGCCCCCCCCATGTGACATCATAATGCCCCACCCATATGATTTGCCATGTTAACTAACGCCAGTGCTGCAAAGCCGCTGTTTAGCATTGGGGTAAAAGGCCTGTGCAGGGACAGGGAGAGACACCAGAACCACTACATTAAGCTGAAGTGGTTCTGGGGACTATAGTGTTTTTAATGTGAGGTAAATAGAGCTTAGTGCCACGTAATAATATACTAGATTGCCTACTTACAAATCTGTAGATGAGGATGTGATGATGGGCTCTAGCTGCAGTCTGGCTCCACTGGTCTGGTGTAGAACAGGCTTTCTGGAGGCGGTTTGTAACTGTGGTCACAAAAATCAATGTTCTGGGAGAACGGGAAGCAGCTCCATTTTTTGGGGGTCCTTTACACAGCTCAAGGTCTGGGTCCCGGGGTCCACCTTCATGTTCCACCAATGAGTTTGTTCACAGGGGGTGGAGTGTGTAGGGGATGTCCTGATATGTGTGTAAGGAATGCATTTTGTGAAATTGTGTTTGTATGTGTAAGGGCTGCAAGGTGTGTTTTTGTGTATGTATGGGATGCATTGAATGTGTGTAAGGGGTGCATTGAGTGTGTGTAATGAATGCATTGTGTGTTTCTGTGTGTGTAAGGGATGCATTGTGTGTAACGGTTGCATTGCTTGTGTATGTGTGTCTGTGTGCAAGGGGTGCATTGTGTGTATGTGATGAATGTCAATCTCTCCTCCCGCTCCAATTTCCTTCTCCTCCTCCCAATTTCTCTTTCTCTCCCCGCCTCCTAATTTCTCTTTCTCACCCCCCTCCTAATTTCTCTCTCACCCCCGCCCTATTTTCTCTCACCCCCCCTCCTTTCTCACCCCCCCATTTCTCTTTCTCACCCCCCCTTATCTCTCTCTCACCCCCCCTTATTTCTTTTTCTCACCCCTCTCTCACCCCCCCTTATTTCTCTTTCTCACCCCTTATTTGTCTTTCTCATCCCCTAATTTCTCTTTCTCACCCCCTTATTTCTCTTTCTCACCCCTTATCTCTCTCTCTCCACCCCCTTATTTCTCTCTCACCCCCCTTATTTATTTTCTCACCCCTCTCTCCACTTATTTCTCTTTCTCACCCCCCTTATTTCTTTCTCACCCTCTCACCCCCTTATCTCTCTTTCTCACCCCTTATTTCTCTTTCTCACCCCTCTCTCACCCCCTTATTTCTCTTTCTCACCCCTTCTTTCTCACCCCTCCTCTCCCCCTTCTTTCTCCCCCTCCCCCCTACCTCCCTGTAGCGTGGCCGAGCCCTGTATAGTCCGCGGGTACAGGGAGCTTTTGTTTCCTGTACCCGGCCGGACTAACAGGAAGTGCACACTCAGTGTGCACTTCCTGTTAGTCCGGCCGGGTACAGGAGACAGCTGCTCTCTGTACCCGTCGGACCATGCTGCAGTGAGGGAGCTGACAGGAGCGTTCCCTCCTGTCAGCCTCTCCTCAGGCTGCGCCCGGGCGGTGCGGTCCGCCCTCATGGACGCACCGCCCGGGCAAAGCTGCAGCCGCCTGAGGCTCTTCACAGAGCGCTCGGGCGGCTGCAGCATGGGGGGCGGGGGGGCTGGCCATGGCACCCCCCACCCGGCTGGCACCCCCGCCCCCCCCTTAGTACGCCACTGGCTGTAGTTATAGTGCTGGTAGGCTTCTTCACGTGGGCTCACTTTGTTTCAGTGCACACGTCAAAAACAATGTTCCCCTACAGGCGGTACCCTAAAATCTTCCACCCCAATAAACTTTCCAAATCTATAACGCTACCTGTCTACTCATCCTTCTTTATAACTGGTAGAATTTCTCACGTTTACTAACTGGTTTTACACAGGGTTTGTGTCACTCCACATAGGTATTTTGGAACACCCCATCCTACAGTCAGCACTCACAGTTCCCATCAGAGTACAAAACTCTTACTTAATTAAATCACCAACGGTTTCTTGATAGGGCCTTTCACAACACTACCTTTACACCTCCTGGAGGACAAACGCCTAGGAATCGCCTCAGGGAATTTTACATTTTAAAGAGACTTATCATTTGATTTTTCTGCACCTCACTCACCCACTTCTCCTAGCTTAAATACTCTGTCCCTGTCATTTTCCTTCAGTTCGCCAGAATTGACGAGGCCATGCAAGCAATCATTCATTCCGGGAAGGCTGCCTGGTTATGTAAATCAGACTTTACTAACATGTGTAAATTACTACCCATTCTTCAGTCAATCTGGCATCTACATGAAGCTAAGTGGGAAGCCACTATTTCGTTACTAGACCAACATTCGGCTTCATATGTAGCGATATCTTCGCCGGAACATATGCAGATGTCTTACGCTACTTAGACAACTTCCTCACCATCGAACCACACAAAAGCACGCCACACAGCCTGAATCACATGTTCACTCTGTTCAAAGATTAGGAGCACCCATAGCCCGGACAAAACACAGAGATCACATTCCCGGGGTTTACACTCAGTTCTATTTATATGCAGGCCAACCTGCCACAAGTGTAAGTAGATAGAATTCTTTTACATCAACATCTGCACGTCACAAGACTCTTGCACCAGGAATCCGCTACAGTCACTACCCAGTTCACTCAATTTTGCGGGGAGAATAATTCCACAAGGTAAGTCTTTATTTCCAGAATCCTCTTTCTTGCATGGTTTCCCTGTCGACGACTCCACAGCTCTCTTAGACAAACCAGCTAGAGCTGATATTAAGAAGGTGGCATCTGTTCCTGTCCTCTTGGAATGGCAGGTCACTACTTGTTCTCCCTGTTTCCGACGATTCCCCTATGGTCCGGACTGACGCATCAGGTGCCGTAGATTATGCAGCAAATTTTGGTTACAAATAGGTACACGTCTCTTGGCCAATTGAGTCTACCTCGCAAGTAAATTTCAATACCACCTCAGCACTATTTGAATCTACCCAATCGTAGCAGCTACACATATATACGGGGCAAAGAGTGGAGAGGGCAGTCGGTCAGATGCTTTTGTAATATCATTAACAAAGGCCACTCTCAGTCCCTCTCGATTATTAACTTGGTAAGGAGTCTTACCAGGCTAGCGGCAAATCTTCAATTCTGCCTAACTTATGTTCACATTCTGGGTATTCAGGTTAACGCAGCTGACGCTCTCCCATACTCTAATTTGCAGGAATTTTTAAGAGGTCATCCATCAGCAAACTCACAGCCCAAGGAGCCTCCAAGCTTCACAGTCCTAATTATGAATTAAATACTCTGTTGCTCCATAGTAGGTCGCTCGCACAGGCTGGTTTATACCTTAATTTAAGAAAGCCTATTCCAAGAGCATATCAGTTGTTTAAAGGTTTGTTTGTGTTTATTGTGTGATAAATGTTTCTATTTGTAAATATGGTCGCATTTACAACTTTGCCACTTTTCTCCTAAATTAGTTTACAATACTATCAAACCTTACTTCACAGGCATAAACATTTGTGTATTACTCATACCAAAACGAGCCATACTGGTCCTCCAGTAGAGATGATAATATTATCTTACCTCTACCAAATCAGGTCCTATCCACGTTTTGGATAATCTTTTGGAATCTCAACTCACTTCCATCCCTGATTCCCCACTAGTAGCTTTTCAAGGGAAACCCTTAACCAATAAACGTTTTATGCTTTACATTCGTACGACATAACCCTCATTCCTTCTCAGGCCATTTATTACGCATTGGAGCAGCCACAGCTGCCTCCGGTAATCACGTACCAACTCACATCATTAAAATATGGGTCGGGGGAAATCATCCGCATACAACAAATACATCCCCAATCCTGAGAAAGAAATAAGATTGTCTTTCTGTGAAATGTCTAAATAATGATCTGCTGAATAAATGTATCTGACTTGTAAGAAACGCTTCTTATATTTTTGCCCTCTTTTACAGGTCTAACCTCAGGTCAGTTTCGGCACACTTCAACTGACTTTGCTCTTACTACTATTGCTTCCTTATTATTGTTCCTTACGTCCTCGAAATGTGCCGTACACAAATAGAAGGCTTGGCCTGTAATTGTGGGAGGTACATGGAACCCTACTTAAACCCAGTGAGTCCCTGCTTACCTGTCGTCGATGATCTTGGAAGTGCCCCCCCCACCGCATCCTCTATTTATTCTCATATCACCTAGATGGGCCCTCTTTTACAGGTCTAACCTCAGGTCAGTTTCGGCACAACTGACAATATAGAATATTGGTCCTTTCAGAGTAAAAATTTTAATTATACAGTAAGCACTCACATGCAGACACAGACAATTTCACTGACACAAGCTGGTTGATACACAGCCTCATAGACAAACAATCTCACTGATACATAAGGTCATTGACATAAAAACACAAGCTCACTCAGTAGCAGGCACACACACACACGCAAGCCCACTCACTAGCAGGCGCGCACACACACAGAGCTTAATGTAGTGGTTCTTGTGTCTATAGCCTGTCCCTGCAGGCCTTTCAATGTAAACACTGACTTTTTAGAGAAAAGGCAGTGTTTACATTGCTTCCTAGTGACAGACACTCAGACGGTCACTAGAGGTGCTTCCTGTGTCAGTGCGGATTGGCTAAGATCATCAAGCTTGATGAGCTCAGCCATAGAAGCAGGGCCAGATGAGGGGAGATCAGCACGACGTGGGAAAAAAAAAAAGAGGTGAGTAAAAACACATATACATAAACATACCATGACAGACACACACACACACCTTGACCCAGACACACCATGACAGACAGACACACACAAACACCATGACAGGGACACACACACATACCATGACAGACACACACCTTAACACACACACACACCATAACACAGACAGACCGTGACACAGACACACCCACACCGTGACACAGACACACATTACACGACACAGACCATGACACAGAGAGACCGTGACACAGACACATACACACATTACATGACACAGACAGACACACACCATGACAAACACACACCATGACACAGAGAGATCGTGACATAGACAGACACACATTACATGATAGACACACACACTCACACACAATGACACAGACACACCATGACACAGACATAAACACAGACACACCATGACACAGACAACTTCTGGGTGGTCAATTGACGGCACACTCCATTCCCAGGTGGTCGGTCATTCGTCTGTTTGTTCGGTAGATTCAATCTACCGAATGCCCAGGCAGAAAGGCATGAACAAGCCTTTCTGCAGGGTAGAATACCAGTTTTGAACATGGGGCCATAGTCCAGCGGCAGGAGGCGAGCAAACTGGCTTCTCCAATGTCCAGTGGCGAGGTTGGTTCCGCCACACTATGTTCCAAATATAATCTTTGTCGTATCATAACATTTTTGTATTGATACTTTGCTGTCAAGACAAAAATAAAGAATTTAATATATATATATATATATATATATTATTGAATGGTTTACTGTGGTGAATTATGCTTCAGAGGTAAGTAAAATGTGTACATATCTCCGCAACTTTCTGTATTCAGGGAGATGCAGCTGCCACATGATGCCTCTACATAGGAATGCCGTACAAAGACTCGAGTACTTGGGCATTCCTTTAATAGGTCCATGTGGGCCTACTTGTATGGCATTGCAGAGCTTAATTGATTTCACTTACTTTTCCCAGGCTGTGCCCAGCAAGTCAGAAAGTCCATATAAATTAGTATATTGAAACCAGTGAGATTTAAAGAAATAAAAGAAATGAAACAACCCATAGCTGACTCTAAATAGCTACAGGCATGTACATAAGTTACACAAATGACCGTTTTCCGGTTTTTAAACACTCGTTGTTGCATACTCTGTGCATGGTGCAAAACTGCCAATAGGTGGAGCTATTCAATAGTGTCATAGCACTGTCAGTTTTTGGTAGCTGTAATATCTGTTACGAATAGTATATTTGTGGATGAGCAGA